AAAGCCAAAGATTTAAATTCATTAAGTATTGCATATATTTCTTTGTATTTGTTGTCAAATATGCGTCTGTCTGTCTGTCTCCCTGCTGATGTTGTTGCTGCTGCTACTGGTCACTGGTGTTCATTTATCTCAGCTGTTCAGTTAGTTGAATCTTCGTCTATCTGTCTGTCTGCTTGCGTTTTAGCTTAGCAATTATCTGGCACACATTTCTGTGCATTTCATCTTGCGAAAAATAACAACAACAAGACATAATACCGCCAACACAAAACGTCAAAATGAAGCCAAGCAACAATAACCATTTAGAGAAGATAGACAGCGAGACAGACAAACGAAACAAAACAAAAAATATCAACCATAGTCACCGCATTCAAGTCGAAAAGAGGCAAACACACAACAACAACTACATCACATATTCCAACGTCTTAACTTTACTAAACTTTTTTTCTTTACGCACCATCCCCATCCTATTCTACATCTTTCCTTTCTTTTCTTTCGAAAATGACTACTGAATGAATGAATGACGGCACCGCTGACGATTGATGTACAGCCAAAACGGCAGCAATCATCTCCAAGGTATTCTTTCAGGTTAAATCTCAACAGATACCCACCACCACCGCCACCTAGTACAGCAAATTGATTTCATTTAATTAGCTTAATGTGTTGAATACATTACGATGGATGACTGGGTGGAGGAATGAATGAACGAATGCCTGCATCATCAAGGCTGCAACAGCAGCAGATGATCTGAATTTTATTATTGTTTGCCTGCATTTTTCCTAGCACCGCCACAATTTTAATATGATTCTTGAGCTCTTTAAGAAAGAAGCCAAACGAAAGTAAACGAAATGAACTTGAGATGGATAAATATTGTGGCGGAGCACAATGGGATGTTATAAGACCTATAGAAGAAAAACCAGTTTGCAAAAAATAAAAGTCGTGCCATGCCGACTAATTGATATCATGTATAGAAAAATGGAGTAGGAAATCCGACTAAGATTCATATGAAGTCTCGTACCAAATGTCATTCAAACCAGAAGCAAATTATGGTTTTCAGGTAGCTTTAAACTCAAATCGGCTGCAACATATATGAGAGTTATAGCTATATCTGTATAGATCCTCAATAAATTACTTCCAGAGCTGATAAGATCAATTTTATTTGCGAGTGAAAATTTCTCGCGAAGGGTAGCACTCGAGGAGTAGTTTACTCTCCGCTCTACTCTTTAAGATAAAATGTTTGAAATAGAGTAAGAATTACTCTAATAATGAAATCGAGTGATTTTATTGTGGATTAGGGGGTGGTTGATCACTACCTAACTTTCATATGCTTTGTAGATACAAATTGGCGACAATACTCGCACATATACAGGGTGAGATGAAAAAACTGCAACCAACTTCAGACTGCTGTTATTTCTAAGCCACTCTTCCGACAGCTGTTAAAAATTTTCCAGTGACAGTTCATTGGCTATCCTTAGAACACTCCAGCGTAGCCCGACGTCAAGAAAGTGGACGGAAGAAAACAGAAATATCAGCAGAAATGGTTCGAAAAGTAAAAAAGCGACTTGATCGAAACCCGCGTCGCAGTGGCCGAAAAATGGCAATATTCCATTCGGCAAATATTGAAAAATGAGCTCGGGATAAAGCCATTGAAATTCCAAAAAGTGCAAGAACTTACACCACAACAGAAAGAAAATGGTCTCAAATTAGCTAAAGAGTTGCTTCGCTTGGCCGAAAGTGGTGGACAGCCGTATTTGGTTTTCTCCGATGGGAAAACATTCGTCGTCGAACAGAAAACAAATGATCGTGTTTGCTTGCCAAAGAGGTCAGCTGAAAATGTACACCTTCGGTTGGAAACCAGAACTCAATTATCGACCGTGGCATCAGAATAAATGCCGAATATTATCGCGAAAATATTCTGGAGGGTATATTAAAGCCTCGCACTCCTCACGCGCCACCCAAGAAGGGTAACAAAATGAGTTTCCTCGCTTCATTTCCAGTGCACAATGGCCACCAAAATCTCCGGATACCAATCCATTGGACTATTGTGCCTGGAGTATTTTGGAAAGCAAGGTTGGCACTAAAAATTATCAAAGTGTCGATCACGTCAAGCAAGCGCTTCGTCGGGAATGGGCCAAAATATCGCAGAGCAACATTCGGGCAGCGTGTGACGGTTTCATTCGTGCGAAATGTGACCAATTTGAACAAATGGTGTTTGACTTTGTTACATTTTTTTATCTACATTTTGTCCGAGAGCTTATATTCCGTTACAGGTGAAAAATGATGCATTCCTTTAATGTTTCTCTAGTTTTAAATTGATAATTGAATTTTCCTAGAATTGATGTGCTTGTGATTTTTACAGCCTCTGTTCAAATCCCTAGATTTCGTTCAGGAACGATTTTAATGGACCCTATTATTGATGTTATAAAAATGTACTTGTTTTTAAAAAAGTGGCATCAATGGTCACGTTTCATTTTCTGAAATCTTTATCATCATCAATCTCAGACCTCAAAATGTACTGTTCTATATAATATAGAAAAAGAACCACAAAAAATGACTAACACTATTATACAATAAAATACCTACAGAATTCTATTGTCATCAAATGAACATATGTCTATCCATCCATCTATCTATCTACATGCATACTTAACGTTCATATTGGTTTAAATTAGCCATTGAATACAACAAGTATTTTGTAGTTCCCCAATGAAGCTGTGCGCGCACACCTAAATAAGTAAATACAAATAACCTTGATGTCAACAGCAACAGCATTGCCTTTTGTTAGAAAAAAATCTACGTTTTTTCTCTTACTGTGACTGTAATTGTTATATATTCAATTGCGAATATGTATTATTAAGCAAATAAAAATATATTAAAGCAGAAAAGGCTTTTTAACAAATTGCCAAAAGTCAATTTATTAATTGACCCAAGGAAAAATATTCATTAGACAATGCGCGCATTTATGGTTAAGGTTGTCAAATGACCTGTTTATAACACATACGAGTTGTGTTTACTGAGTCTCAATTACTATCTTCCTTTGTCTCTCACTATTTTCATTGTTGGTTGGTTATTATATCACCTGTTATATTGAGAGAGAGAGACGAGCACAAGCCTTTACTCAAAGGAAAAGAAGATAACAAAATATCCTCAACTACCATACTGTGTGTGTACAGGTATGTGTGCGCGTGTGTTATTAAAGAAAACACCATAAAACAGGTGAAGGTACTTATTAATGCACATTTCAAATCAGAAATGTGTTGTGTTAAGTGCCATACACAAAAACAATGTGGAAAAATGATGCCCATCAGCTGCAGTTGACTCTCTCTTTGAAATTAAAAAAAAACAGCTGATTTCCTCTATTGGGTTTGTTGATTCCGAATAAAAACATGAAGTTACAATTTGTACAATAAAAGTTATTACAATAAATGAATTGGTTATAAAGTTGTTTAGCACATATTTTATCTACAATGAAAATTCTCTATAAAATCTTTAAAGGCGCCTTCGGTTTGGAGACGCTACTTTACTTTTCACTCACATTTTATAAAGTATTGTTACTCCACAAAACACTCAAATGTCTCTAATCTACAGGGGACTTTGTAGATATATTTTGTATGTAGTAATTCCATTATTGGGGCTCATATTTATCAAACCAACAAGGACTATATTTTTTTAATTATTCATTTATAACATCTCAGATTATACAAATAATGCTCAGTATGGATTTAAATATAACAACAGCGACAATAAGTTCGGTGTGCCAACATTTTTATATTCCACCACCATGTGAAAATTTTACTTATGACCAAAAATTTGACAGAATTTCCAAAATGTTGACAAAATTTCTAAATATGACAAAATTATTATGTCATCATTGAAACCCGTGCCTTCCTCTCTGACCTAAACGCTAAGCATTTACAAAATACAACGTAGAATGATCCATAAAATGACACCTAAACCGACTGCAAATCGGGAAAAATTGCGTACCCTATTTAAAATTTCGTGAGGATCGGGCAAAAATTACCATTAGAGTTATTACAATTATACGTAGGACGGACACGTAGCTAGATCGATTTAGCTCATCGATATATAAAAATCGATATGCCAACTGGCGAACTTATATATATGTGTGAATAGATTTATAAATTTAATGACCTTATGAAAAATGACTCACAGTTTTGGACCTAGTGTTAATGACCACTAGGCACACAGAATACTGTCTCTATTTTTGACAACTCAGACCCAGATCACTATCAGTTATTCCAATATGGATGGAATAACTGATATTGACGAATGTTTTATATATCGACCTATCACCTCGACCTTTAAGGGTAAACAGGATGATATGGTACACAACATAATATGCTACACGCATTGCATTTTATTTTTTAATTATTTCATTTATTTATTAATTTAAAATCCTTCATGGTCTACAAATGTGTATTACAAAGTTCAAATTTTGTTAATGCTATCACTATGTACTCTTATCTGAGTAATGAGACACAATTATCTATTAGCATGTTTTCTCTGGTAGCAATATCCGTTTGGAGCATTTTATAAAAGAAACAAACTAATTATGATCAAATAGGATTCAAAAATATAAACCAACTTGGTGCGAAAGTATTCTATAGGTTATTAAACATTAGAAGAATTAGAAGTTTATGGTGTTTACTACTTGATTTTATCTTTTATGTAGGATATGACTTTCTCGAGATCAGGCTGACCATTGACTTTAATGCCCTGCTCCAACATGCTTCCTCACGATCGCACCCCCTTCATGTTGTCCCTCTATTGCAAAGAGAAAATAAATGTGACATTGGGTTCAACCTTTTTCAAAATTATTAGGTGAATGTCTGCAAGCAATTTTTCCCCAAAAAAAAACTTGCACCCATTTGTCATCTTCCCCTCCTTGTGCTCTTTTAAACAAACTATTTTTTATTCTAAAATTAAACAAATAAAATGTAAAAAAACTCTTTTTTATTTAAATAAAAATAAACAAAACTTACCTCTTCCAATACTGCAATGGTTTGACGACATGCCGGCATCATGCGGGATGCAAATGTTGATGTTGTTGGTGAATTGTAATCATCTCGGGTTTCCTCAACAAATTCGGCTATATTCATAAGTGCAGGCGGCATTTTTTCACAATACCAAATAGAATGTGCCCAGGGCACACTCTGCCAGATTTACACCGTAGGGTGTCCAATATCAATGTAAAGCAGTAATAGGGCCACTGCCGCCGCCGCTAGCTATTGTTGGCCCGTTCTGGTTATTTTTGTTGATGTTGCTGTTGTAAAGTCAAACGGCAAATTATGGCGCGCGTAAAATTTAAAACAGCTGGTTAACACACGGTTGTTGTTGAGGGACGGGCCGGGCGAGGAGCCAACTTATGGTGACACACAGACAATATGACAACAATAACGTTATTATTTATTGTAATGATGATAACAACAAGAAGAACACAAGGGGAAGGTAGAAAAACATAAGGAACAAATCATTAGATATTTGATTCAGACAACACTCAGCTGAAATTTTAGATAGATTTTTTTTGGAAATTACACTGACATTAAATGCAAATTTGCTGTTTATTTTTACATAAAAAACACGTAATTTCTGACAAATCGATCTCTTTCGTGTTCACATCCTCACTTACTCTCTCTATTGTCATCTCTTTTTCAGATTCTGAGTACTACTCACAAGCAAGGATGGTAATGACGTTTGTTATTGCGACATTGAATTACGAGTAATATTACATTTAATTTGATGATATAAAATACACAAACAAAACAAAAGAAAAACTGATTATGATAAACCGTGTAACCGTAAATGACTTACACTTTAGAATCGATGACACTTAATAGGAAAATGCAACAAAGGAAACAATAATAGAGAGTTAGTTATAAGCTTGGGGTTTGGTTTTTCTGTGTGGTTTCTATTGGTATTTTCTTCTTTATGGTTTCATGTTGATTTGTTTTGCTTCACAATACATTTAGCATGTATTCATTTCTTGTACTGTAATCGATATTATTTTTTCACAAATTTCCTCAACACTATTCTACACTTCGAAACTCATCATTCTTTTGCTTATTTGACAGCACAACATACAATACAATAACACTTAGCTGCTTGGCCTGCTGCTGCCTTGCCTATATTTTGTGGTAAAAGAATTGTTTCTAGCTGCGTCGTTGTATTTCGCAGCAACACCCATTTTTTGCCTCCACTTCTTTCCAAAACGTTTAAAACAAAAGAATTTTCGCCCAAATTTCATGCAAAATACCAATCTAACATACTAGTAACACACTCACTGAAATAATTTACACATATGACTCTACAGCAGCATAATTTATTGACATTTATTAATATTTTAATTTTCCTTTTTTGGATGTGTGCATTCTGTTTCTCCTTTTTTTTTTTGTTGTTTGTCGAAAACCACTTTACAATTCAAGAAAATTTCTTGTTTGTTTGCTTTAATCAATTAGATTTCTGTACTGATTTAGGTTATCCACATTTTGTTGTTTTGTTATTTTTAAATTCTTGTATTTTTTATAATTTTTATTAAATTTTATTTGAAATTATTCGATTATTTCCCATAACTTTTTAAGAATGTGAATGTGGCGAGAACCGAGCTATACTAACAACAAATTTAGCGGCGTCTCCAAACACTTTAACTCATCGGCGTTAAAACTATATTCACTGACGTCTGCAATCTCCGTAAAATGATAGCCGGTTCTCTGCATTGCAAGGGTGCAAAATGAGTTACCATATTGTCGTTCTCGTTCTCTGGAGATTCTAAACATTTTTCAGAATATTTTGATGCACATGATGAAATGCAGATAGCAACATCAACAAAGAAAAATAAAAGAGATCTTCCACAATATTGTCAGAAATATTTCTGGCCGAAATGTTTTGTTTCGCCGTTAGCGGAAGCATAGCTGAGTACTACCGGACGCGTCCCCAGGTTGCGGATAGTGGGACGCCCGAAAGATAAATCGGGCAGCTGCGAATTAAATAAGAAATCGCGGACTCGACGAGGCGAAGTCACTGGCGCTCCTAAACTATCCAGTCAACGGACTGGTCCACCGCAACGGACTCCCTAACACTGGGGTGTTACGTAAACTGTGCCCATCAGTGTTCCAAGGTTTGCAGTCAGGGTACCGACTGTATTACCATGATATGTAGTCTATGTCATGGCGGACCTCGTCACCTCCAATGTCCTAAATTCGTAAGGAGAATAATTTAAAAAACAAAAACAACCTAACAAACGCCGACAACACCTCAACCGCCTCTTCGGAGGTGGGGACGAGACTCTGCAGACGCACCGAGAAGTAGTATGCGAAAGCATACAGAGGCAGCTATCCGCCCTTCTCGAGAAGACCAAAACCCTAAGGTTTAGCCAAGAGAGTTTACCATCTGGTTTTGGGAATGCTTCAACTCCCTTTGATGGGTAGCTCGACGTCACCGTCATACTCTAATCTAAGAGGAATGAATCAGTTCAGAAAGCTAAAGAGGTTGCTCAAACTGGCTCTCTAAACTTTTATGAAGGAGATTCATCAGAGCATACCGATGCTACCAACCTCCGGGTCAAGGAAGGCGTCGTCGAAGGTGACACTAATGTCCCAAAAACCCGCGACGACTCCGCTTCGAAAGAGTGTAAGCAAAGCAAAGGGGCTACAAACGGACGGTGAGGTAATCTAAAAGCTTCATCGGCCGCGATCCCCTACAGATTACGGAGAAGGAAATGACTAAAAGACCTAATCAAGACGAACCTAAAGGTTTTAAAGTAAATAATTTTCCGAATATTGATTTCATGGTAGAACTAAGAAGGTAAAGTCATGTAATCATATGCTTAAATTTTTTTCAAATTTATACATTTGACAACATGTCATTGTCAAAATCTATATTCATAAATCCACTATATAAATACAAAATCAGAGATGGGAACTGCTTTTTATGCATTGAAATTTGACAAGGTAAGTTGCATAAAACGCAGAGCTTGGAATGCTAATTTGAAATGAGGTTACCTTTGATTCCTAGTGATACCTAGTGATACCGCGTTTAAATACAAAATTTTATCCGGATACATTAGCCTAATTAAAATATTCTCAACCAGAAAGAAGAAAAAAATTAATTAGGGAATACCTGGTGCGGAATCGACAAACTGCCGGGATATTTCACTGGTTTTAAGCGACACAATCCAAAGTCGTACGTGTTCAAATGCTTTAATGGAGTTTGATTTGATGTTTCAAATTACGATAAGTGTAAAACTGAATATCGTTATTATACCCTACACCACAAGGTGGTCAGGGAATTATGTCTTTGTGCATTTGTTTGTAGCAGTCAAAAGGAAACGAGATAGACCCATAGTTCTTCTTGATGATCTGCATAGAATAAAATTCTGAGTCGATTTATGCATGTCCGTCCGTCCGTCCGTCCGTCTGTCTGTCCACGCATTTTTGTAAACAAAGTACAGTTCGCATTTATTGTCCTATCCAGAATTTTGCACAAATCTATTGTTTGGCCCAAGGACGAACCCTATTGAAATTGGAGATAATCGGTCAAAATTTAGATATAACTCCCATATGTAACTTCGTCCTATTTGCCTTTTATTGTGCAGCAAACGTGTAATATCAGCCCGAACAGTATGGAATTTTGCACGCACGATCAAATTGGACCTGAAAACAAGTATGTCAAATAGTAGTTGAGCGAAATCGGTTTAGATATAGCTATAACCCCCATATATATTGTTCATCCGATTTGTTATTGTTGTTCCGCAGCCGTAGTATGCACTCTGTAACAAGAATATTTGGAGAAATATATCAAATACAGCTCAGAAATACATTTACTGAATTTTATCAAGATCGGTTCAGATTTGGATATAGCTCCCATATATAACTACGTCCGATTTACCTTTGATTGTGCACCAAACGTCTAATATTTGCCCAAATGGGATGAAATTTGGCACTTACGACCGGATTGAGTCTAGAAGCTAGTATGTCAAATTTGTAGATCGGTTCAGATATAGCTATAGCTCCCATATATACTGTTCATCCGATTTGTTATATTTGTTACCCACAGCCGTAATATGCACTCCGTAACAACGATATTCAGGGAAATATATCAAACACAGCTGAGAAATATCTTTGCCAAATTGTATCGAGATCGGTTCCGATTTGGATATAGCTCCCATATATATTTGTATCCGATTTCAAATTAATTGTACATCAAATGGGCAATATATGTCCGAATTTAAAAGATACAAATGCTTCGGCATTTTTAGTCCTTTGAACTTTAAATTATAATTATAATCATAGCGTGGATAATTAAATTTTCCCATAAAAACTTTTAGTTGTTATGCGGAGCTCGACTAAATTAGCAAAGTGGTGTAGGGTATCATAAAGTCGGCCCCGCCCGACTTTCTTTACTGGTTTAGAATTAGGTCAGATTAAATTAATTTTACCATTATTATAATATTAAAAACTAGATATTTCGGATGTATATTTTTTAAAAGGAGCTGCAGCTTAAATATTTGTTCTAAAATATATAAACATTATCAAAAACTCGTCATGTACTAATTTTCAGAGGATTTAACCATAGACGAATTAAACAGTTTTCTTGTTTTCTGGATCAAACATTGTATTGGATCTATATTACAATATTTTTATTATTATTATTATTTATTTTACAAGAAAATTTGGTGAAACATGCAGTTATAATAAATGGTCTGTTTCAGAGCTGTAAGAATGTAAAAGTATTCATTACGATATCTAGCAATCGCTAGAAAATCGTGGAAAAGGCAACAACCTGAAACCAAACAGCCTACATACCATGGTAGAAGAATATAGGTAGATGCATCAACGCTTGGGAACATTGATATGTTAAAATTTTTTAAGTGCTTTGTAAAAAATAAGTTGATTTTTATAATTTTTCTTATACGACACAAGACGGAGGTTGTAATGATATGTTTTTTTCAACAATTTTTACATATTTTAATAATTTTTCATTCACTATTTTCAATATCAAAATCGGTTTGACAGTTCATTGTCCCAGCAGCTGTGTCGATGCGACTACCTGTATTTTTCTACCATGATACATACATAAAGTATTCTACATTTTGTAATTTTAGGAAACATGAAATATACGAATATATTATCTAACGTGGTGTCGCCATTCCTACACCGCAAAAAATGTGCGAACCATCTTTTTTGGCGTTTTTTTTTAAGTACAAGGGCGATTTTTTACATTATTAGGCAAAATATATGTTCACATTGCCCTGCAGTGATATTTTATATAAAAAAGGGTATACTTATTGCATGTCAAAAATGGAATTATACCACAAAACTTCATATCGAGTTTGACACTAGTATTATTATAGAGTCAAATCAACTGGGATTTGTCGTCACCTGTAATAATTATACCATGAGCAAAAGTAAACAAAATAGATTTCTCGAATGCAAAACATAACAGCATGTTTGCCAACTTCTGATTGTTTAAAATATTGAATTTGACGGATTTCTAGTACATTTTTACTAGTTATTTGTGCCCGTACTTTCTGGATACGAAATTCTTACCATTAAATTATAGGAGTGTACCATAATGAATTCATTTGAATTGAACGTTTAAAACACGTACACATTTAAAGGCTAATGTGAACCCAATACATGAACATAGTAGAACAGGGTGATCTTGATAGGAGCGTTTTTCATAATGCTATAATTTAGCATCTCTAGAATTCAATGCCACCATTTTGCGACGCACTTCTCCCTTGTAAATTGATTTTAACGCCGTTACTGTTCATATATTTAGACTTTGCAAACTCTTGCACGTTTGGTCGGCTTGGTTGAAAAAGAATTTATTGCTAATTTTTTCGCATATTATGGCTGGTAAGAGGCAAGCTACCTCAGACTTAAATCATGACAACTGGGATCGTGAGGAAGAGCCTGAAGAACGTGGAACATTCAAAACCGCTGATGAACAAGAACTTAAAAATCGTGTTATCAAAAAGGCCGCTAGGCGAAGAGTAGCCGGTACCGATTCTGCGGATTCTGGCACAAAGAGTGTTTTTAGTGGTTTTTCAGGCTTTGGCAAACCTGCGGCAACAGCAGCTACAAGCACAGCGGGAGCATCACCCTTTTCATTTCTATCAAAGATATCATCGGCCACCCCAGCGCCAACCAGTAGTGCAACAAGTGAAACTCCTAAGCCAGCTGCCACCACGTTCTCTTTTGGATCATCAGCTACAGCGACAACAACAAAAACAGAAAGTGCCAAAGAAGTTAAAAGTGACACAAAGTCTTCGGAAACATCGGATGAATATTATGCCAAATTGAAAGGTCTCAACCAGGCGGTTAGTGAATGGATAAAAACTCATGTTGATAAGAACCCCTTGTGTATATTGACACCTATTTTTAAAGACTATGAAAAGTATTTGGCTGAACTTGATGAAGAGAAGAAAAAGACTGGAGATAAAAGCACAAGTTTGGCAACCGTCAGTGATGAAAAGAAGCAAACGACTACCGCAACGTCTTCGGCAGGGATTGGAACTTTCAAGTTTTCTGAAACTTCTACAGTCAAAAGTTCTACAACATCAACGCCACTATTTTCATTTTCATCTGGTGCCACAACAACATCTACTGGAGCCAC